CGCGACCGGCCTCATCGTAATTGCACAATATTCCTATGGAAACGACCCACAAAATTAATTGATGTATAGAAACAACGGGAATGTCAGTGACTACGTGACAATGATCGAACGGAAAGCAACAGCACGGCCGAATTTGAAGGCCCCGCCAAGTACATCTCAAAAAGGCCATGAAGCTGCATGCCGTTCTGAGGTGTAATTTTATTCAATTATTCACCACTTATCACTTCTATTGAATAACTTTCATGTTTTTAATACATTTTGATGTCAACATTATTTCTTCTTCAGATGCCGTTCACAGGCACAACTTGCTGGGCTTTAGTCGTCAGGATGCAAAACGAATATTTCAATGCTCCATTCAAAAACTTCGATGAACAGAACGATTTTTACACCTACTTCCTTTCGAATAAACTATTATTATATTGCACTTTTCATCACCTAAACTTGATTTTGGTCGATCCAGAGATATTCGTTTTGTTGTTTGGTTGGTGGGCTACTTGGTATGGAAGTATAGGCAGACTAACTGTTTTACTTTAGAAAAATACTATAGCTTCTACTTTTAGAATGGAGCAGGGAGATATGGGGCACAGTTGGGCTAAGTGGGAGAGGATGTGGTATTATGCGCGCCATGTCCGGCTGGATCAGTTTATTTCCTAACACTAGGGTTCGGTCGTTAATGGTTTAAAAACTTACCGTTATGAGGGGTTGCTCGTTCAGTCCCGGGAAAAGTGCAAAAAACCTGTGCCTTTTTCGCACTCTGGGCGCCCTGGATTCGCACTCTAAGAGCACTTTTACGGGGAAGGAAAACTGCACGAAATCTTTTGTCGATAAAATGAGTTCAAGGACAATTATGTACCATTAATAATGATATGCTAATGTATTTAATAATTCTACACAACTCCAAGGACCTGACAGTGAACATCAGAGTGTTTTGAGAGTGAAAGAAACGTTCCGGCGTGTTAGCAGGGGAAAGATATCGAACTTGCGTTTGAACATACCCTTTGAAGGCAAGTAATCAACCTCCTACTCGAGGCTGTTCCGTAAAGGGATAAATCTTTGGGTAAATAACCAGTGACGGACTCGGGTACGGGGCCGAGGATTAGACAGCTTTCTACTGTGTCCAGGAAGCGTAGTTAAGCTACATGGGGTGAAAAACAGGGCTGCCGTAGAAAATAAGCGGGCTACCCGTAGAAAATAAGCGGTAAGGAAGGCAAAGGTCCGCTCTAATATGGCAGGTGTTTAGGAGATAAAGGTTCAGCGTGGTGAGATAAGACGAGTGTCGGCCCTGAATCAGCTCCGACGTACAACGGGGTCCAGGAGGCCGGAGGTCCTCTTACCTTTTACGGCCACACCTCTAATATTGCGTTCAGGCGTGGAGCCCGTTCTTCGTCAGAGATTCTAAAGCGCTAGAGAAAGTTCAAAGGCGCTTCTCAAGGTTGCTTCACAGGTACATGAGAGCTCTCGTATTAGAGGAGACTGGATGTACTGCACCTAGTCTCAATGGAGAGACGGGAGGCGGCGAGGCGACCTCACAGAGACGTATAAGACCCTCATAAGATCTTCACAGACATAGAGGGTAGTTACCAGATGCTGTTGAAGCTCACTTCGGTGGCATACATTGAAATTGGTAAAGGATAGGGTAAATTGTCGACTGAATACGACATCCTATCCGGTCCCAGTCGTGAATGACTGAAGCAAGCCAAAGCATCCACCTCAGTGGCTGAATTCAAACACTGTTTGGACAACTTATTGGGTAATTTGTTCTTTGGAGGAGAGTAAACGTGTTAAGCCCCTGAAGAATGTTTCCCTCCCCACCTCTCTTTGTCACAATGGCCCTCTAATCCCGCCACTTCCACTTCCGCTGTTCATCTCTCCACCAAACCCCAGATTGTCCTCCTAGACCCAGTATCTTTCATTTTTACGGGCTTTAAGGACCTTGACGTGACTTTCCAATAGGAGGGATCGGTGTGCAACACAGCACTGCACAAACACCCTCGCAGTGGGATGCTGTGGCTGGTGTTCTCTCCTAGTCGTGTTTATCATTGAAGATGAATCCTATCAGCCTATTGTCGCAGCGCCGGGAGATCATGGGCGCTCACCAGTGCAGGAAACTGGACGACTTGGAAAGCTGTAGTCACCGTACTTGGCAACGGACTGAACTGAACTGTACGTCAAAAGCCTTTTTTGGGGCCTTTTGCTGGTGGCAACTATGGTTGAAGAATTATGTTGCTAAAAAAAGGAGCCCGTTTCTCCTCTACGGTACCGAAGGTGGACCATTCCATTTAAGTTGTGCTGTCAAGCAGTTCTCTCACCTTGATGATGTGGAAACATCAGGTTCGCAGCTATTGTTTTTGGTTTGCCTGGCCGAAAATTAGGATTTGTAGATGGAGGCATAACATATGCGGAACATTGTTTATGGCCCTGAATAATATTATATATAAAATAGAATCGCTATGTACTCCCATTGACACAAATTTCCCTAACCTTTTCATGATGTTCCTTTGAGTGTTTATCTGCACCATTGCTAAGGGCACATCACAAGCTCAAACCTTGAGGCTTTGGTTACGTGCTGCTCCGCTGTTTGTCGACGACCTCTAGGTAATCCTCAACCGACTGTTTTCTGAAGGCCCTATACTTATCTGCCAGTCTGTCCTATGAATCGCAATTTTCTAAATTTCATAGGTTAATTTTTTCATTCTTTTCAAGACTGTGATTATAATATGGCAACACGATATTGTTCTGTTCATTTTCCTTACAGATGAATGGAGAAATCGATATAATTCAGAGCAATTCACTGAGAAAGATTTTATCTGGACCAGCACAATGTGGATCCACGCATTCGTCACTTGCAATGCACATCCCAAGCGTAGAATCAACTGCATTCAGTTCTATAAATTCATCCAATCCTAAAGATTGTGCTGACTACGAGTGCTCTTCTAGTGGCATACTCTCAGCCGGGAGCGATGTTACATCAGAAGAGAACGAGTTTCTAAGGGTCGAAAAAATAGGCGACGGTTGTGTGACTGATTCCTCCTGTAATCGTCTGACTCCCTCGAACTCCAGTCAAATAAGCCCCCAGTTGAATTCCTTTGTTGAAACTGGTACTAATACATTGCCTGCATCTGAGTGCAGTGGTTCAGTCAACGGTACTCCGGAAGCATTAGTGGCAAATCACTTGTTCCCCGTCACACCTTGTTTTCCACCTGACTTGAACGACTCGAAGGTACACTCATGTGCGCCTGACCCTGTAGAAGAAATCCCCATTACAAAGAAAACCAATAGACCACAACAAGAGGACACTACCGGATTCGTCGATAATAAATACATACCTTCGGCAGGACTATCTGGTTCAGATCCTTCTGCTGAATCGACCGTTCACATTAATCCCATACCACCGATACATCAGTCGCAACTACCAATGGATCAACGAATCCCTCGATTAGACCAAGATTTGTGCGGTTTGCAAAGTTGCATGACTAAGTTTAATCCGAAAACATTACAGAACTACGCCACTGGAGATAATGATGCAACTCCTGATTCGGAAGCAGTATTGAATACATCAAACTTATGGAATAAAGCCAATTGTTTGCCGGGCAACGATGAAGTATTGCCATTTTCTTATGCAGTAGACGCGTTGCCTCCTGTCATTTCAAACAGTTTCTCCGACACGGCATACGGCTCCAACGACATCAGTGGAAATACTCAAAATACCTTGACAGCTGCAGTTGCTGCCGCTGNTGCGGCAAAACGAGCCATCACCGGTGGTCATCAGGGTGCCAAATTATGTCCCTCTTCCCGGCCTACAGCTTGGTCTAATGGGACCAGTAATACTTTATCTGCCTCATCCATAAACTCCGTGGGGGCCAATCAATGGAATGTCGGCAATGGTGGTGCGAAAGTTGGCGTAGGTTCATTTGCCAATGCTTCACAGTCTGTGTCATCAACGGTCGGTCCTAATGGAACAAGTTCCACGGCTTGGGCTCATTTTTTGGCTCAACAACAGTCCCAGGGCAAAAGCGGGACACAAACCATATCTTCCATGCTGGGGGCAATGAACTTAGGTAATAGCAACACAACCAATGCCTTACCGGTTCGCTCATCACTAAACCTTACAGGTGGAACGAATTCTACTGGTTTTACTGGGCCAACCATGAATAAAGGTGGGCCTAGCGGTCTGGCAAACATCTACAGTATGTTCCCAAAGCGACCACAACACAGAATGATGGCACACTGGCAGCAGCAACAACAGCATCACACAAGTTTTCAACAAACTCAGAACAATCGCAACACCAGCGTCAACAATGGGCTGCATCAAATAACTGGGAACAGAATGCCAAGTTCCACAATGGATTTAGCCAACATGGTACCTGCCACTGGAACTTCGGGTGATCCTGGAAATTTGTTTAACTTTTCCGGTGGTTTTACGAACGGCTCCGTCTTACAATCATTGAATAATGCGGTCGGTCAGAATTCATCTGTTGGGCAAATGGGGCTTGGTTCTGTTGGTGACTCATTCGCTTCCTTGGTCACAAGTGGTGGTATTTCCGTTAATGAAAATACTTCTCCACTGGACACTTTCAAGTTTGGATTAGATCAGCAGCTTATGGAAGTGATAAAGTCATTTGAAAACAGCGGTATAAGTACTACTGGAAACGCTGGATCAAACACCAATAATAACAATGATGGCTCTGGTTTGGTCGGTACTGGTTTTGATGATGTGATGGCAAACTTCGCGGATGTTGACCAGCAGTTTTCGGGAATGGGATGTATGAATCCTATGTCAATGCTCGGACATAATGCTGCCACAACTAGTCCAATGGGACCTGCTGGGTTGAATGGCACAAATAGCCACGCGCCGAGTCTAGGAACCATTGGCAATTGCAGCTCTGGATCGGCATTTGGGCCAATAGGAACGAATCCGTATCCAGTTTTTACAACTATTCCAGCCCGCGAGGAGGGTTATTCTCGAAAAGTTTTCGTTGGTGGGTTGCCCCCTGACATAGATGAAGGTAAGTTATTTGTGTGCCCTGAGAATTTAAGTATACGAGTTCTCTCTTTATGGAGCTTCACTCTTGTAAGGATTATTGACAACGATTGGTAGCGCTCGGCGAAGTCCGCTTCATTGTATCTTGCTGAAAGAGGATGATTGTGATATCGGCATTGGTTTTAGCATTTTCTAACACAGAAACATCTATTCAATGGGACCTTTCTTCATTCGTTAAATAGGGTTGCGGCTGTTAAAGTGCGAACACGATAAGCCTATGCCAGTGTCATTCGCCACTCCTGGGGCTTAGGCTGCAGGCTCATGAGTGGACAGTAGATCCTCTTGACCATGGAGCTTTTTCCTGCCTTTCCTCACACGAGTGCGCAAGAGAAGGTATGCGTAGCCAGTTGATCAGTCCTGCTTCACATCAAGCTTCAGTGTAGCTATTTAAGAAAAACATGTGTATATCAGCTGCAGAAAATCATGTAAGATTAAAAGTTTGCCGCAGACCTATAGCTTATTGTATCATGTACACTGGTGTCATCTCAGTGCTTGTTTTCTACATCTTGATAATAACAACCGTATTATTTTGGCAGGTAAAATGCGCGGTCTTAACAGTACGAGAAAATCTCGATCCATATGTCAATTTCCTTATTTTTTCCAGCCGTGTTTATGAGCTGAAGGTTTATCCGTGGACAGAATTTTTCATCTTAGTTTTCGAAGTCGATATTGACGGGGCAGATATTTGATTGTGGAAGTCTTCTACTCTATTTTTAGAGGAAATAACTACTGCTTTTCGGAGGTTCGGTCCACTGATCGTCGATTGGCCACACAAAACGGAAAGTAAAGCTTACTTTCCGCCTAAAGGTAATTTCTTGTTTTCTAATACTGTTTGAAACGTTAAATCCGTCCTCGAGCAAGCTTATGAACAAGGTGTATAATGTGTTTAGTAATTTGAACCCATTCCACATGCTTTGCACTATCCACTCTATTTTAGCTCTTCGTGGAACGCTGTCACCAATGCGCATGCGATACTTCTTTTTGAAATGTAATATGTGCCACTAATGAGCTTGTTAATAAATTACTATTACGGCTGCTTTGGCTAATTGTCATCTCGGCAGTCATGTGTTTGAATTCCAACTCCACGGTCCAAGATGCCCATTTGTCCCATGACTGCTCTTTAAATAGCCTCTCTCTACTTCCTGAAAACGAACTGCAGTTATGCATTTAATAGAAGTAAAAGATACTGGTCATCAGTATAAAGCTATGTTACTATTGAGATTGTTTGGTGTTTGATGTCCCGTTCAATACCACGCCCAACATAGTTGCATCTTGTGTTTCGCCACTCCGAGTCCTGAGGCTTAGGTTATCGGATT